GATGCTCCTCGGGCCCAGCGGGCCGCAGCTCCCCGGGTGGCCGCCGCAGCGCGGTCCACGGCTGCCCGCCGCCTGCAACCGCCTTCCCGCGGGACTGCGACTCCCTTGTGGAGGCCCGGAGTGCGGGAAGAGTGGGGGGATCCCGCAGAGCCGCGACCCGGGCCTGTGCTGTGCTCCGACCCACCCACCCCTCCCCTCCCTGCTAGAAGTCCGGATATCTTAGCCCGGCCCTGTCACCTGGGATGGGGTTGCGGGACCGAGCTCCGAAGCAAACCGGTCCTGTCTCCAGCTGACCCCATAGACCCCACACAGTGCCTTCTGTCTGCCCGCCTCCTGGGTGTCCATGCTGGGCCTTTTTCCCTATAGGGCTCAGGATGCCCCTTTTGGCCGCCGAGGGTCTTATAAGTATTTACATTTAATTTACAAATAGAGAAACTGAGGCTCAGAGAAAAGCAAAGCCCTCCCCGAGGTTGAGTTTAAGAGACAAACCTGGACTAGGACCCTGTGCTGTCACTCAGCTCATCATTCCCCATAGTCCAGCGGAGCCTTTTCTCCCGCGCCCTGAGCTCTCCCTCCCCCCAACCCCCAACCCCCGCCGCTTCCCTCTTCATGCTATGAGAATCTCCATCCATCCCTGAGCCCCTTTCCTGTGTGTGAGGAGGACAGATGAGGCAGAGGGAAACTTACCTCCTGGTCCTCGTCCTGGGACCCTGGGACTTTGTATCACACAGGAAGTATACACACATGTGTCCTTGTGGGGGAGATCAGAGGCCAAGAAGGCAACACATTACAGTGGTTTCTAGCATGGACTCTAGAAACAGTGCTCAGATTTAAAGCTTGAGTGTGTCGTTTACTGTGTGACCTTGGGCAAATTACTTGACCTCTAGGTGCCAGCAGTCGTGGTTTTTGTGAGGTTTACGTAAGACTGATGCATGGATAGGTAAAGTGGTGAGAATAGTACCTGATACAGAGAAAACCCTTGGTAAATAGTACAGTGTATTATTAGTGTTCCAGAAACAGGCATGCTCCAGTTCTCCCTGGCAAGCTGCCACTAAGGGCCACAAGGCAGTTGACTTCCCAAGGATTCAGCCTGGGCTCTCTCCTGAGCAATTCTCTCAGAGTTCCCTCGGGGAGTATGGCCTGGAGGTCACAGTCAACATTGCTCGTCACTGGAAACCACAGCACCTGTCCCTCCCTGTTTCTAACCTGCCTGAACTGGTGGGAGAAAGGTAGGGAGAAGAAGGTGGCTTTGCAAAGCCCACTAAAGATGCTGCTCACCCAGCCCTACAGGTGGGAACACAGAAACAGCGTTGGGGATCAGAGGGCTCAGTAGTTAGCGTGGAAACTTGGCATTCTGCACGGTTGAGGCACAGTGAGGGAACTTCAGGGAGATGCACTCTGACCTGAGATAGGGAGGATCAAGAGAATTTCTCAGGTAAAAAGAGGGAAAGAGACCTGATGCAGCACATGCAACAGGGACAACAGAAAAAAATGGTGTTCAGGTGACAAGTAATGCATGAATATGAGAAATGGAGAATTAAAAGGGACAGAACCAGGAAGGAAGAAGAGGGGCGAATCAAGAAAGGCTTCAAGCCAGGCATGGTGGTACATGCCTGTAATCCTAGTACTCAGGAGGCTGAGGCAGGAGGAGCATCCAGAGTTCAAGGCCAGCCTGAACTAATAGCAAGACCCTGCCTGGCTCAACCCTCCCCACTAAAAAAGGCTTCAAATGCCAGGGTAAAGAAGTTCTCCTTGCCACATATGGTGGCATATGCCTGTAATCCCAGTACTGGGGAGGCTGAGGCAGGAGGATCACTGGGAGTTTGAGGCCAGCCTAGGCTACACAGTGAGTTCAGAGACAACCTGGCCTAGGTAGTATGACCTTACCTCAAAAAAAACCAAAATAAATAAAATGAACGCACATCCAAAGTTTTTGAAAATAAATCATCCTTGCTGGGCATGGAGGCACACACCTGTAATCCCACAACTCTGGGAGCCTGAGGCAAGAAAATTATAGGTATGAGCCCAGCCTCAGGCTCCCAGAGCTGTGGGATTACAGGTTCTCAAAAATAAAAAATAAAAAGTCTAGGGATGTAGCTCAATGTAAAAGTTGTGGGTTCAATCCCCATTACAAAAGAAAAAAAAAGGAATCTAAGCCAAAGAGTGGCAAGATCTGACCCACATTTTAGAATGATCACTCTGACCATAACAGAGAAGAGACTTGAAAAAGGAATAAATGTCATCATGTCCCAAGTTTAAAAGTCCAGACACTTTTAATCCAATATCTCCAAGGTAACCAGGAGCTAGAAGATCTCTGACATTAACTGAACGCATAAAACACAAGTTTAAAAACAAAACCATGACTATTAATTTGCCCTGGGAAATGTAACTGCTCAGAGGCTCAGAATACCCAACTGTAAAGTGATCTCCTTCCCAGTAGGAAACATGTTTGGCAGAATGATTGCTTCTTAAGAGAATCAGAGAGGAAACGCAGAACTGGATGCTCTTACAATTTAATGTTTAGCTCTCCACCTCCTTTGTTTCTGTGCAAACTGAGACACACCAGTCAACCTCTCTGCACTGCTAATAATCATTCCTACTACTCACTAGATTGTACTGAAGATTTGTAAGTCAGTTTAAAAATTAATTAAAAAGGAACTTTATATATCTAGGATATAGATAGATAGATAGATAGATAGATAGATAGATAGATTTCTTTTTTTTTTTTGAGATGGGCTCCAGGCCAGCCTTGAACTCACTATTGTAGCCGAAGCTGGACTCAAACTCAAGGTGATCCTCCTACCTCAGCCTCCTGAGTTCTGGGATTGCAGGTATGCACCACCACACCCAGCTATAATTTTAATAAGTGACAACTATTTCAACATGAAGTCCATGAGAGAGCCTTAGTATGTGTGAAGAAATGTAATTCTAGGAAAGGGTAAGAAGAGAGCCCCTGGAGTACCTGTGCAGCAATGAGGCGCCTGGGGGGCTGAGGCAGGTTAGGATTGGGAAGAGATGTAGAAGATGGTAGAAGGTTCTGTGGAGCTGGCCTATAGTGAACTTCCATAGTGTGTGGAGTTGTCCCGGGGGGGCAGGCAACGTCAGGGACACTTCCCAGTCCCGTTTGCATCCTGATGTGGCCACGTGACTAATTCTCACCCAGGAAAGGTGTGCACACGTTTACCTGTATGGCTCCCAGGTCAAGGCATTTGGGAAGTGAGAACTTCAGGCTGGAGATGCAGCTCAGTGGTAAAGTGCTGGCCTGACATGTGTGAGGCCCTGGATGTGAAACTTTCAAAGTGATAAGAATTTAAGATGAAGTTTCTCTCCCCTTCTTTGCCTTCCATCAGGTAGCAGTACAAGATTCAGAGGTTCTCAACAATGGCAAAACAAGACCGAAGGGGCTTGGATCTCAGAATCAAGTACACGGAGGAAAGGCTCCAACTGACCAAGAACACTCACAAAAAGCACTTTTTTGGGACAAGAAATAAACTTCAGTTACATCAAGCCACTGGAACTGGTGGTGTTCATTTGTTACAGCAGCTAGGATTATCATGACCAAGGCAGACTGGAAGTGAGAGGATAGATTGCCCAGAACCTTGAAGGCACATTATAAAGATTTTTACAGCCAGGAGTGGTGGCACATTCCTGTCATCCCAGCACTTTGGGAGGCTGAGGCAGGAGGATCACAAGTTGGAGACCATCTTGGGCAACTCAAGGAAAACCTGCCTGAAAAAAACCTTTTTTTTTGTAAGGTCTAGACAGCCAGGTGCAGTGGCACACAGCTGTAATCCCAGCACTAAGGAGACTGAGGCAGGAGCAGAACCACAAGTTCCAGGCTAGTGTAAGCTACATGGTGAGTTTAAGACCAGCCTGGACTACATAACTAGAACCTGTCTCAAAAACAAAAAAGGGGAGGGAGATAAGAGATGTAGCTCAGTGTTTGAGTGCCCCTGGGGTCAACCCCCAGTAGTAAAAGAGGATTGGGGGGCACCAAGTATAGCTCAGTGGTAGTGTGCTTACCTAGCATGTGCAAGGTAATGGGTTCAACTCCCAGCACTGGAAAAAAAAAAACAAAAAAAAACAAAAAACGAATAAAGCAGGGCATAATGGCACACACCTGTAATTCAACCCACAGGAAGCCGAGGCAGAAGGACTGCAAGTCCAAGGCCAGCCTGGACTACACAGTAAGTCCTTATTTCAAACCCATCCCCCCACCAAAAAAGCAAGGTATAAAGCAGTATGAGTAGTGTGGTATGGTGTCCTATGATCCCAGAATTTGGGAGGCTGTGGCAGGAGGATTGCCATAAATTCAAGGCCAGTATGAGCTACATAGACTACCTAGCAAGACCCTGTATCAAAACAACAAAAAAAACAGTATGCATAATAACAAATGTGGAAGCAGCCCAATTATCTACAACCACATAAATGGATAACCAGAATGTGGTATATAGTACAAAATATTATTTAGCCTTAAAAAATGAAGGAAATTCTGATACTGTTACAATATGTATGAGTCTTGAAGACACGCTAAGTGAAATAAGCCACTTGTGAATACTATGCTTGTTAACTTATATGAGATACTTAAAATTCATCAAATTTATAGAAACAAAGTAGCATGGTGATTGCCAGGAGCCAGGATGAGGTTGCTGAATGGGAAATTATGGTTTAATGCTCACAGAGTTTTGGCTTGTTTTTTTTTGGTTTTTGTTTTTGTTTTCTGAAAGAGGGTCTTTCTGTGTCATTTAGGCTGACCTTGAACTCACTATGTACCCAGGCCAGCCTCAAACTCCAGGTGATCCCCCTGCCTCAGCCTCCTGAGTGCTGGGATTACAGGTGTGTGGCCCACCCCTGGCCAAGCTCAGTTTTACGAGATGAAAAATGTCTTGGAGAAGGGCTGTAGTCATAGTTGTGGAACAATGTGAATGTATTTAATGTTACTGAACTACACATTTATACCAGTAAGATAAATTTTATTATTTATTTTTATTATTATTTTGAAACAGAAAAAAAATCACATTGAAAAAAATGTAATTTCAAGTTACATAATCATTCTTTGTTCTGACCTTATTTTCTAGACACTGGCTTGTATTTTTTGTTTTTACTTTTTTGGTGGTACTGGAGTTAAAACCCAGGGCCTTGCACATGCTAGGAAAGCACTCTACCACTGAGCTACCTCCCCAGCCCTTGGCTTTTAAAAATGAAAAGGTAGCCAGGACATGATAGTGCACAGCTGTATCCCGATACTACGGGAAGCTGAGGCAGGAGGATCACAAGTTTGAACCTAGTCTGGGCAACTCAGTGACTTTGTCAGGCCCTGTCTCAAAGTTAAAAACAACTACAGCAACTAAAAGGCCTGGGGATGTAGTTCAGTACAAAGGCTCTGGGTTCCATCTCCAGTACAGGAAAAAAAAAAAAAAAGAGCTAAGCTAGACACATATCAGAAGCAATTATTTATGTGGGGAGAAATAGCTCATTTATTGAAGGACAGTTCTGAGTAGAAATGAAAATTCTATAATCAGCTAGAAAATTACTTATGGAAATTAATGCTGAGAGTACTTTTCAGTCAATGTTAAAAGGACCAGTTCCCTGATTTATATTCCTGACTTACAAATTTTACTGTTGGAATGTTGTATAACAAATATCAGTAGCCAGCATGATGGCGAGTGCTCGTAATCCAGCACTCAGAGAGGCTGGCGAATTTGAGGCTGTGTGGGCAATTTAGGGACTTAGCAAGACCCTGTCTCAAAATAAAAAGTCTGAGGATGTAGCTTAGTGCCAAAGCCCTGGGTTCAATCCCCAGTATCAGGAAAACAAAAAACAAAAAAACCCTGGTATTCTTATTTATTCCTATGATACGTGTCTCTGAAGTCAGATTCCTCAAGTGTAGATCTTCATCACTTACAAAATCTGTAATTTCAGGTAAATTCTTACCCTCTCTATGCCTCAGTTTCCTCATCTATACAATGAAGAAAATAATAAACTTGCCTCAGATGTTCTCTTTTAGTATGAGATAATACAAAATAACTCAGTATGTGTAATACACTATCATCTGTGCGTAAAAGAGAAAGTAATTATGTGCTGCTTTCCTAGAGATGCAAAGACTATTTTTAGAAGAATAAAATATTATTAAAATTGATTGCTACTAGGGAAGGAAACTGAATGGCTGGGATTTAAAATAGAAGGCAAATGGTTCACTGTATATTGTTCTATCCCCTGAGGTTTTAAACATAAGGACATAATTCTTTTTTCATTTTAAAGAGAAAAGAACAAAAACAAAAACAAAACAACATAAAAGCTATAAAAAGATACTGAATTTCAAAACAAGATGATAGGAAATCAACAGCAGTTGTTGTATTATTTATTGTTATATTCAACCCAGTTGCTCAGATCTGGGTATGCAAGATTGATCAAACAATTAAACATTACCTGTTTCTTTCAATAAACCAAGAGAAATTAGAAATACAATTATCTTAGCTCTATTGTGTATATACACATTTTTTTCCTTTCCTTCTTTCCTTCTTTTCTCCTTTCTGTCATCCCAGTTGTTCTTTCCTATTGAGCAGTTTCTTTCCCTTACACAATATCTATTGTACCTTTCAGATTTTATTTACTCTTTCAGGTTCTTTTTTTTAAATTTTTTTTATTTTAAAATAAAAGGAGGAAAATATTAACAGACAGTCGAC